ATAGTAAAACTGTAACGTACTACCTAGCGTCATCACCTCAAAAAATTGCTAAAAAATTCTAAAAATTCGTTAAGGTTGGGGTTACGAACTAAGAACAGCAAAACAATATATTGACCAATGTACAGCACATATAAAGTTTGTCAACTGGTTTGTCAATAAAATAAAGGATCATAATACCCTAAAACAATATTTCAACGATTGGTGTTTGTTTAATTCTGGCTTCATGATTCTAAATTGAACATTTAAATAAAATATTTAATCATCTTTGCTGAATATTTTTATGAGCTGTTAACACAGTTTATGATCAGGCAAGACAAAACCCTACATATTTATAAAAATAATCAATTTACCAATTTATCTTCAGGTCGGAGGGCTCATGAAATGCCTGACAAGGTCTATGAGTAGTATAGGTTTCTTCAAGATATAACTAAATATTTCGAAATGTTTTTTTTCAACAAACTATTAGAAGTATTGGAGACTTTGTCTAATGAAGAATTTGGTATATTTTTTGAGAATTTGGAAAAGAGGATTCATAAAGCCTTAGATTATTTTAAAAAATAGTTTGCATCTTGGCTTCACTTACCATTGGTCGTTTGTCGCCTTTGCAGCAATAATGTTAGGTCTTTCACTTCTAGTTTTTACCACATTGTTCTGAAAAAGCCTTGGGCTAAATTACCAGATAATTTAGAATTACGGTTTGCAGAGAAACTAGAAGATAATTTAAAAATGAAAAAACTGATAGTTTGGGTTTATATAAATTGTTATTGCAAAACAATAATTTTCTCTCTGAATTTGAAGAATTCTATATAAATGATGAATTGTCTATATACAACTTTTCTAGACTATATCATTTTATTAAAACTTGAATATATTTTATCATTATCTATTAGCAACAAGTGGAGAGTCTTTTCAACAAATTAGACCTAAAAACACACCCCAACATGTTGCTATTAGTTAAACAAGCCAAGCTTCATTTGTCCTCAACAAAATCGATAAAGAAAATTTATTGGAAAGGTTAAAAGAAACACAAACAAATTGAAAAAACACTACTTCAAGAATAACATTTAATGCAATTTGGGCCTAATATCGCTTCAAATCTTTTTAACGATATATTAATTAAATAAATAATAAATATATTATACATATTTTTTATATCACTCTATTTTAATAAACAATTATTATAAAACGCACTATTGGTGTTTTACCACCATATATTTGATTTGCAAATCCGTGTAACAAAAACAAAAAAATAAAATTTTTATAAAACAAAAAATAAAATTTTGATTACTTTAGAGTTAGGGCAAGATCTAGAATTTTATCTAGATATTAGTATATGCAAAATTTAGCAAAGAATTTTTTTTATTAGAGCACCAAAGGCAGTTTTATAGATGAAATTTTGAGATATTCATATTTTTTTAAAAAAATAAACAAAAAAGTAAAATTTTATGTTACACCTGATTTTAAATTTTAATTGGCTATTCTAATAGCTTTGTATATCAAAATAGGTAAAAAATACTATAGATATACAGTACCTGACAAAAGTTTTTCCGCACCTCTAACTTGACACAGAGGTGAGGTAAGTAAAAATTTTTTTTTATTTAAAAATACATTGCAGTATAATAAAAATCAATGTATTGTATAATCATTCTCAGCTTCAATTAGAGCTTCTACATGACTCTTCATACTTCTAACTAAATTTTTCGCATATTTTTTAAATAAGCTATTCTATTCTCTTGTTATTTTGCCTTTCAAACAACTAAGGGTTCTAATTTTTTTTTTGCCAGGTTCATTTTCATCAACCCCAGACGTTTTCAATTGGGTTTTGGTTAGGTGACATCGATGGCCAAGAGAGAACCTAAATGTCATTTTTTTCCTTCCAAGCCTTCAGATTTTCGAATGATGCTTTGGATCGTTGTCTTCCTGCAAGATCTATCTATTGTATTGTTCGTTAAAAAGGTCCCCAACAGAAGGCAGAAGGCCCGTTTCATACAGAGTGATCATATATTGCATGTTAAGGTTATGCGTAAAGCAGACCAACCTGCCAAAACCCGAAAAAGAAAAACAGCCCTATACGTGAACTTTCGTCGAATACTTGACGGAATGGGTTAATTTTCTTCTTCCGGGGAATTGCTATGCCTTTTTTAGTCATTGATTCAGGCAGAAGGTACTTTCGTCGGTAAACACCACGGAATCCCAGTCAAAATCCTTATGCTTTTTCACCCATGAAAGGCATTTTTTTCGATGCTTCTCTCCAAGCAAAGGCTTTGAGAGCTTTTTGTAATAGCGGCCCCCACCTTTATGAAGATGCTATTGAATAGTATACATGTGAATATCAACATTCCGTTTCATCAGTTCATGACAGATTTCTGGGGCTATAATGTCTTCGTTTTCTTTTCCCAACTCCAAAATCTGTTTGTCTTGTCTTTGGGTAGTGGCTCTTTTATAACCTGACCTTGGTTTGTCGCTTAGGTCCTTGGTTACTTGCCACCTTTTTACCTAATAGCATACAGAACTTTCATCACAATGAACTTGCTTTGCTGTTTCACAGATTGAAAGCTTTGGGCCTTTCAGATGGGTGCTTAAAAAAATGATTTCATATCGTTTATATAAAGTGAGAAGCATTTTTTTGGCTGAAATTTCATGCATAATTGAAGCAGGTATTTTTACTATCAATCATGCCCAAAGAACGTTAGTACAATCTGCATATGCAATGTACTTTACGTGAATGAAGTTTCATGTGCCTGCATGTGATCTAGCGAAAGCTAGAGGTGTGAGGAAACTTTTGTTGGGCACTGTAAAAACACTATAGGTGCGTTTTAGTAAAAGTGTTAATAAATATATATCAATATTATTTTGTTATTTGTAAATTAAATAAATCAGTGATCGCTACAGTTACACAAAAATCTTTTATAATGGATTTTTATATGATACCACATATAGTTTTGATTTACATAATACGCCGCGCACCCCAACACAGCACGGCAACCTTGAGGTTATGCGAGTCACTAGCGATGCTGAAACCTATGACTATAACTCCTTTGTCAACATTGCTTACTCTCACTTTGAATTCGAGATTCCACCCAATATGTTGCAACCTTTCTCTGAAGACGACTCCTGCTTTAACGGAGTGCCCAAGATCAGGCAAATAATTGCCAGTGATCTTCCATTGACAACATTGGACAGTGAACCTCGCTGCGTCGCAGTTAAGACCTAGCATCACCACTCTAAAAAAAATTTCGCTAGCAGCATTAGGATTAGGGTTTGGGGTATTTTTGCTTTGATTTTATGTTACATCTGATCTTAAATTTTTATTCGGCCAGATAGCAAATTTTTTAGCATGTCGAAAATGTATACAAAATTGGCGGCGCAGCTCTTCTGAGCTACGAATCAGATTTCAAGATTAGGTGTAACCAGTGTTGGCAAATAGAACAATAGAACAAAAGCTCAATTTTTTTTGTCTCTATATAAAAAAATTTTTTTTTATTAATAATTTGCAATTATTTAAATATATATTGTTAGAGCATTAGTAAAGTAATAAATTTAAAATATT